TCCCAAGACCATTCAATAGGGAAAGAACAGCTTTTTCAAACAATGATGCTGAGAAAAGTGGATATTCATATAAAAAGAATGAAGCTGGACCTCTCCCTCACACCACACATAAAAATTAACTCAAGATGAATCAAAGACCTGAATGTAAAACCTAAAAATATAAAAATCTCAGAAGAAAATGTAGTGCAAACTCTTCACAACATTGGATTTGGCAGTGATTTCTTGGATATGACATCAAAGGCACAGGCAACAAAAGAAAAAACAGGCAAACTGGACTTTATGAAAATTAAAAGCTTTTGTGCATCAATAGCCCCTACCAATAGAATAAAAAGCAATTCACAGAAAGGGGGAAATATTTACAAATTGTATAACTGATAAGGGAATAATATCCAGAATATATAGAGAACACCTAAAATTGAACAACAAAAAACAAACAATCCACTTTAAAAATGGGCAAAGGACTTGAACAAACATTCTCCTAAGTCATACAAATGGCCAATAAGTATATCAGAAGATGCTCAGCATCCCTAACCCCTAGGGAAATGCAAATTAAAATTAAAATAAGATGCCACTGGCTGGGCATGGTAGCTCATGCCTGTAATACCAGCTCTTTGGGAGGTTGAGATGGGTAGATTGCTTGAGCTCAGGAGTTTTAGACCAGCCTTGGCAACATGGCAAAACCCCATCTCTATTCTCTATTTAAAAAAAAACAACAACAGATAACAAGCGTTGCTGTGAAGGTGGAAAAATTGAAATGCGTGTGCACTATTGGTGGGAACAAAATGGCGCAGCCTCCATGGAAGACAGCATGGTTAAGATCACTAAACTGCATACCTAAAATGATTAAGACGATCAATTTTATGCTATGTGTATTTTATCACAATAAAGAAACTTTAAAAAACTAATAGAGTTAAATAAAAATTATAATTTTTTAAAAAGGAGATACCTGCTATGGGTATCAAACATGTTGGATACCCCATTAGCAAGGGGAATGGGAAGTTGAGAAGTCTTGGGTATCAATCAAGATACCTTGGTGGAAGCAAGGAACAATATTAATCATGGAGGGCTTCCTGGAGGAGGTGATATGGTTGGGCTAAGGCCAGGCCAAAGAAGAATTACAGTGGTGAATGATTTCACCTCAGTGCCCATCTAGATGCTGCCCCTTGGTTCAGTTCTTCATGGTTTCCAAGGAGTCAGGGAACTTGGAATACCTAGATTGCTGTCACTTGGCAACCAGGAACTGGTGGCTACAGCCACCAGCCAAGTTCTTTCCATCATCCTGGGCCCTCACCTCTGGCATGGGCTCTGTTCTTCCCAGGTAGTGGGGGCCCAGCCAGGGAGGCACCCGCCACTTGCTTCCCTAGGCCTGACAGGGCAGAATGGGACTCTCACTGATGTAGGTAAGTCCACAGAAAGTGCTGAATGGATCAAGGGAAACGCACACACACATATGCACTCCAGCCCCAGGGGGTCCTGCCATTTGTTCCCATCCCTGGAGGACCCTGGGGTTCAGGGCAGGTGGAACATAGTCATTCACAGCCTAGTGTAGGAGATAGAGCTCACCTCATTTTTTTTTTTTTTTTTTTTTTTTGAGACAGAGACTCACTCTGTCACCCAGGCTGGAGTGCAGTGGCACGATCTTGGCTCACTGCAACCTATGCCTCCCGGGTTCAAGCGATTCTCCTGCCTCAGCCTCCTGGGTAGCTTGGATTACAGGTGCACACTGCTACGCCTGGCTAATTTTGTTTTGTATTTTTGTAGAGGTGGGGTTTCACTTTCTTGGCCAGGCTGGTCTTGAATTTCTGACCTCATGATCCACCTGCCTCAGCCTCCCAAAGTGCTGGGATTACAGGCAAGAGCCACCGCACCCAGCCCTCTTTAAACACACTGATGCCAGTGCCTATTCCATGCTGGCTTCTGGGTTACAGACTTTCTAAGGTGTGGCGCACCCTTGGTCAGGGGTGTGGGAGGACATAGCAGACAGCACTACAACACTCTTATCACCCTTTAGCAGTCACTTCTAAGCGCAAAGACTGCTTTCTCTAAATGATGCAACTCTCTGCCTAAGGGCTTTTCAGGACCCCAGAAGCAGCTCTCAGCATGTGGCAGATGCCCTCAAATGGAGCAGTTCTGAGACACGCCCCATACTACCCCCCAGAGTGAGGAGGAGTGCGGTCCAGTTGCCCATAGAGGTAACTGGCTTCATCGCACTCCCTCTATTGACTGCCTTTCCTTCCTGTCTAACTTCCCTTCTCCTCCACTGCCCCACTGCTATCGCCTGGAATCAGCTCCCAGATAAACCACTCAAATCGCTGTCTCACCATGGGCTTCTGAGGGAACGCATGCTAAGACAGAGATGATGGTGTAGAAGAGGGAACCAGCATTCTGTGAGATGCCAGCTACAACCAACCGTATGCAAAGCAGTGTTGAACCAAGGGGTGGGGGTGAGGGAGCTGTCTGCCCTGGTGCAGACAAGGAGTGGGTACATTTCTTGTAAAAAACTTAAAAGCAGTAACAAAACACCAAAAGCCCGTCCACTTTTTACTATCATCATGAACCAGCAATTTCAATCAACTTCAACGATAAAATTCACCACCTGACTGAGGCTGATAGCTCTCACTGTCCCATGCCCACCCCTTGGCACTCCACTGATGCCAAGCACACCAAGGAAAGAGCAATTAATCATGGGCAAAAGAGATGAGGGAAGTCTCAGTCAGGAAGCAACACTGATCTTCTGATCGCACAGAGCTAGCCATTCCACCATGCCTTTGCACATACCGTTGCCTTTTACTGGAACACCTTTTGTTCCTTAATCTCTTTTTTTTGTTGTTGTTGCTCTGTCACCCAGGCTGGGGTGCAGTGGTGCAACCTTGGCTCACTGCAACCTCTACCTCCTGCGTTGGAGCGATTCTCCTGCTTCAGTCTCCCGAGTAGCTGGGATTACAGGCTTTCACCATGATGACCGGCTAATTTTTGTATTTTTAGTAGAGATGGAATTTCATCATGTTGTCCAGGCTGCTCTCAAACACATGACCTCAAGTGGTCTGCCCGCCTTGGCTTCCCAAATGGCTGGGATTACAGGCATGAGCCACTGCGCCCAGCTGATCTGACTTGTTTTCTAACAGAATCTCTCTGGTTGTGGAGTACAGTACAGACTAGAGGGAGACAGAAACAGAATGGGGCAGTTCCAAGACTGATGCCAGGAATCCAAGTGAAAGATGACAGAAGCTTGAACCAGCTTAGTGACTGGGATGGGGAAACTAAATTTGTGTAGGACACAGTAAATTCTTCTTCAAATAACCAATGTCAGTATGTTCAGTCTCCCTGTTCTTTGCTCTCCATTTTAAAGTTGAACTTCATTCTTTATGCCTCCTTGCTGCTGGTTTCAGTAAACAACCCCCTCCTAGCCTCTATCACCCGCTCTGTCCTTAGTCATCCTTAGTCACCTGCTCTGTAACCGTCCTTCCCAGGGGAAACAATTTACCCCACCACTCCTGATCATACTCCTGCTCTCTTTAAAACAGCCAATCAGAATTAGCTTAGATTGTGCAGTCCAACCCTAGCCAACAGGGAAAAGACACAGCAGTAGGAACTAGCTGTGTCAGGGATAAGAAGTAAGACCCCCTTACCCTCACTTGCCCACTGTGCTCTCGCCATTGCTCCAACCAGAAGCTCCCTTCTATAGAAGTAAATTTGACTTGCTAAGAAAATGTATGTTTGAGTGCTATTTCTTTTGCAACACCAAAAACTTATTTCTAACATTTGGGTAAAAGCAGTAAGTGGATTTCATGAAACCTGCTGAAGAAGTAATGGGTGGTAAAAATAAAAAAGGGGGTAGGCAAATAAATGATTGAAAGTCAGTAGCGGGTCAGGAGCTTCTGCTCTGCAGGCAGCCATTGTGTCTTCTTGGAGAATTGGCTTCAACTCAGGGCCGTTGTGTCATCTGCAAAATGGGGATAATAATGGTACACAATGGCTGGGCCCACTGGCTCTTGCCTGTAATTCCAGCACTTTCGGAGGCCCAGGCGGGTGGATCAGGAGGTTAGGAGATGGAGACTATCCTGACTAACGTGGTGAAACCCCGCCTCTAATAAAAATACAAAAAAATTAGCTGGGTGTGGTCATGTGCACTTGTAGTCCCAGCTACTCGGGAGTCTGAGGCAGAAGAATCTCTTGAACCCAGGAGGCAGAGGTTGCAGTGAGCCGAGATTGCACCACTCCACTCCAGCCTGGTGACTGAGCGAGACTGTCTTAATAATAATAATGGTACATACTTCACAGAGTTGTTGACAAGTTGATATTTGACATTTTGGGCTGGATGATAAAAAAAAAAAAAGGTGATGTAAAGGTTTTGGTACAGGATGTAGCACACAATAAACACTTAAATATTATCTTAGAAGCCAGACTGCTAGGTTCCCATAACCATCTCAGCCATTCACTGTTGGCTGTGTCATCTTGGTCAAATTAACCCTCTGTGCCTCAGTTTCCTCATTTGTGCAATAAGGCACATTAATCGTTGATATCAAGTGCATAGAGTTGGGTTGTGTAGATTAAACACATGAATACAAGTAAAGCATTTAGAATAATATGGACGGTAGCAAGCACTGCGTACGTGTTAATGATTATTAAGAATGTATTTTGGCCAGGCCAGGCGCGGTGGCTCACGCCTGTTATCCCAGCACTTTGGGAGGCCGAGGCGGGTGGATCACGAGGTCAAGAGATCGAGACCATCCTGGTCAACATGGTGAAACCCGTCTCTACTAAAAATACAAAACATTAGCTGGGCATGGTGGCGCGTGCCTGTAATCCCAGCTACTCAGGAGGCTGAGGCAGGAGAACTGCCTGAACCCAGGAGGCGGAGGTTGTGGTGAGCTGAGATCGCGCCATTGCACTCCAGTCTGGGTAACAAGAGCGAAGCTCCGTCTCAAAAAAAAAAAAAAAAAAAAAAAAAAGAATGTATTTTGGCCATATTTGCCAGCCCCTTCCCGGGCCTAGCTTACCCCATTTTGCGGATGGGAATTCTGGTTCACAGCAAGGTGACCTCTTGGAGAACTACGTGCCCGCAGTGCCCATCCGATCCCCGTTTGAGGCTCCGCGTCCCGCGCGCGCTCCCTGGCGGAACCTTTCAGCGATGTGCTCGCGTTGCCAGCCCGGCGCGCCTCACGCAGACACGTCAGTTCTTGGGGCTACTTCCGGCGGCTCCGCCCCGCCCCGCCCCGCCCCCGGGCGGCTCCATTTTAGTCTCAGGTGTAAATGCTCTTAGAACCAGCCCAAGAGAGGAGCTGAGTTATAGCTACCACCGCCGCCGAGTCAGCTCACTGCAGCACCCCTGCCCCCTGCTTTCCTCCAGACGCCGAAGTCGCGGGCGAGTATGGCGGGCCTGGAGGTACTGTACGAAACGGCTGCGCCGGCCATCACCTGCAAGCAGGACGCGCTCATCTGCTTCTTGCATTGGGAAGTGGTGACACACGGCTACTACGGCTTGGGTGTCGGTGACCAGGTACGCCACGGTGCCGGCCAGGGTGGAGGAGGGAACCGTCTTCTGCCCAAACTCAGAGGACCGAAGGCCTGGTCCAGAGCGCTCGAGTTCCCCGCCTACCCTTGTGCGGGGCCTGGGGCTCATGACAACGCCGGTAAAACCTGCGGGTCGGTGGTGCTCAACTGCCTCATCCCAGCCCAGAGTCCCTCACAGCACAGCTGGCACAACATGGTTTGTAAACTCAAGGGCAGAAACTCGCAGCCTCGCAACCTCTCAGGGCAGGACTGTGTACCAAACGTTCCGTAGAATGGAAAATAATCGAGTAGGGGTTTAGCTCCTTAGAGCACTCCTCACCCACCTGATCCCCTCTGAACTCCTTACCACCCAGCCTCGCGGTGAGGGGACTGAGTACCGCCCTCATACCGCACTGGTATGAGGCTCCAGCAAACATCTGGATCCAAGCACAGGAGTGAGTTTTGACCTACTCAACCCCAGGTCAGGGCCCCTTAGTATGGGCCCAGAGCACTAACACACCCTTCACCCTTTACTGAAGGGCCCAGTGTAGTCCACTTGCTACTGCCATCCCCAACTCAAACTCTGGGAAACAATCACCCCCAGGGTCGTACACACATATACCCTGGGTGCGAGGGTCGTATAAGATTTTCTCCCCATAGCTATCCCCACAGGGCCAGCCCCTCCTGCACTCCCATGTCCAGGCTCTACCTCTTAGAACTAGGGACATGGTTGACCCCACAGAGTTCCAAGGCTGCTGGGCTCAACCAACTCACTAATTCTTTGCTCTAGCATTCTTCTATCTTTCCTATCTCTTCCCTGTGACCCTCATCCCCTACATCCACATCATCCTAGACATCTGCTTCCTGGGAGACCAGGGCCTGCCTCCATGCCTGACCCTCACTGTCACTATCCTCTCAGTCTCAAAACCAAAACCAGCCATGGGAAACAGACATCCCCACCTATTACACCTTGCAATGAGATTTTACCCTTCCTCTTCTTTTTGGCTGCTTCAGTTCTCCTCTCATCAATTTTTTAGCTTCTCAAATAGACAGAGTCTTAATTCTCCTCTCCTGACGTAGCTTAAGGGACCTCTCTTCAAACTTGCTTTGTACATTCTGAGCACTCAGGCAGGTATCCCCTTTCCCCCATCCCTCACTGCTGTCCCTATTCCTCTCTGTCTCTTACAGCTAAAGACCAAGACCACGATACCCCTCTCACACTTTCCCCCCTTCAGCAAGTATCAAAGCATAAGAACTGTCAGGGATTTCTAGCTCTTTTTTTTTCCCCAGACCTCAACTATCTCATTGGGACCCCAGGTACACACTCAGCATCCCCATTCCTGCCTCCACACTCACATACTTCATCTCTCAAACGGGCTCTAAGGCTGGAGATGAGGAAGGAAAAGAACAGCCAGCCTTTCACACACACACACCTGGAAGCAGGAACAATTTCATCTTCCCAAATGCATTTGTCCCTGGCCTTTCTCTGTGCCTCTCTTCATTCCACATACTTTCCCTTTCAACATTTCAGACCTTGGGACCAGGTAGAGACAGCAGCCTCTCTTTCAATGGATAGTTCTCCTGACAGAAATCTTGTCTACCCACTTGCCTCACTCCAGCTTTTTAATCTTTAGCAGCTCTTCACTTGCGCCAGTCATTTTATTTCAACTTTTCCTAGATTCTTCAAATAAGCTGGTATGTGGATGGTGCAGGGAACAGCAGGGCTGAGAAGAGGAGTAAGATTTGATTTTGACCTCGGAGCTCCTCCATTGGCCCTTAGCTCCCCCTGCCCTTTGCCCTGCCCTTCAGATGGAACAGCTCTGCTCTGCAGCCTGGCCCCTATCATGTACCTCACGCCCCTTACATACTTCTAGCTAGCTACTTCTACTCTGCAACACTCTCAGAACCCTGTCCACCTCTGCTTGGAAAATCCAGGAACCAATTCGGTTTCTCAAAACAGGTTCCTTGTCTTTCCAAGCAGAGGTGGACAGGGTTCTGACAGTCTCAGAACTGGTTTTGGTTCTGAGACTGAGAGGGTGTGCCTGATGCCCTTCTTCTTCTTGCTATTCCACAAATAAATGTCAATCACTGTGGATCTGCTCCCACCATTCTTACCCTCACTCATCCTGTCTGAGTCACTTTGACAGTTTAGGGACATCAGTTCACATAAGTCGATACTTTCTTCTAGCTGGCTTGCCATACACTCAAGGCTTGCTGTATCCCCTTGCCGTACACTCAAGGCTTCAACATTTTCAGATGAAATGTACAGGAAGAATACGATCTCATTTTAATACTGGTTTTTTTAAAAAACAAAGGTCCTTGACCAATTCCCAAAGGTCCATCTAATTTTTCTCTGTTCATGGTGTTATTTGTTGAGCTTCTGCAGGCCAGAGAAAGATGCTGGCTTCAGACTTCTTTGGGGAGGCCCAGGAGCCTGGGGAATGGGGTTTTTGTAAGGCATTGCCACCTTTCCTCTATCTATCCCAGCACTAAATCTTGCATACCCCCAAAGGAATGGGTGTTTGGATTGCAAACTAGAGGGTGGTATATTTTTGCTTCTCTCTGCCCTTTCTCCTTGGTTGCCATTGGGGCTCAGATTGCACTTGTACTCCTGTCACTTCTGCTGAGTCTACTTTCATTCAGAGTAGAAGCTAGAGAGGCATCTTTCCTGTTAGTTTATTTAAAAGGAAGTTTAATTTTTCACCTGGGGCCAGCCAACTCAGCTGCCTCAATCGTGTTTTCCAAGTTCAGAGGATATTTGTGTTGCCTCTCCAGCCACCTCCTGTTCCCACCCTTCTGTGGGTGATAAAGAGGGAAAGGAAGGTCCCAAGAGTGTACAAGTTGACAGTTAAATGGAAAGCTAGATTGCCTACTTTCTCTTAGGTTTTGCCTCCTCTGTTATAGGGGAACTGTGTACATAAAACTTCATTAGAAGAGCAATGCAGCCACTGACTTCAACAAAAATCCAATATTTGAATTTGGATTTCTTTCTTGAAGTTAGCACCACTCCTTGTAAGAGTTTTACAGCTTTGTCAGGTGATTTAGGTGGCACGGGGGTAGGTAAGGGATAACTTAGGTGGTCATCAACGTTAGAGAATTTTGTTTCCTGTTGTGGGAAATCTAAGGATTGTTATGAAAGAGAGCAAATGCCCAAAATGATCTGTTTAAGTATCTCTGGGTGTGTTTTATCTGAGAGGCATTGGGGCAAACAAACTCATGGCCATTAAAGAATGTTTCCAGTGCCAGGATGTTCACTAAGAAGACAATTCTCTTAGGGCCAGTCTCGTGGACCTGGCTGGGAAAAGTCTTCTCTAGCCATAGCCTAGGCAGCCAGGAGCTCTGAATTCCAGGCACAGCCCTGCATCTGACTTGCTGAGACACCTTGGGCAGCTCTCAGCCCCTTTCAGGCATTAGACTTTTCTTTTCTTTTTTTTGAGATGGAGTCTCATTGTCACTCAGGCTAGAGTACAATGGTGAGATCTGGGCTCACTGCAACCTCTACCTCCTGGGTTCGAGCGATTCTCCTGCCTCAGCCTCCCCAGTAGCAGGGATTACAGGTGCCTGCCACCACGCCCAGCTAATTTCTTTTGTATTTTTAGTTGAGACAGGGTTTCACCATCTTGGCCAGGTTGGTCTCGAACTTCTGATCTCAAGTGATCTGCCTGCCTCAGCCTCCCAAAGTACTGGGATTACAGGCATGAGCCACGATGCTCGGCATCAGGCCTTCAATTTTCTATCAGAGGAAGTTAAACCATGTGACTGTGTACTTAGGCTACTTTCCAGCTGTGGCTTTCTGGGACTCTTGATATTTGATGTCAGGGTTCACAGGGCAGTTGCATGCCATGTTCGGCCTGATATCACCAGGGTCTGTCCTGTGTTTACTGGGGAACATCAGTTCCACTGCAGTTAGAGACGTAAGCCTCACTTGACTTCAGGGACTCTCTGTTACTCTGAAAGCCAAAGGTGATGGGGTGGTGAGCAGACCAAATTGTTTATATTCCAAGAGAGAACTCCGGTGGATTGAATACTGTCCATGGAGGATAATATAAATTTAAAGGCCTTTGACAGAGCATCAAATTCCTGGCTTCCAAAGTAAACAAATCTACAACACTAAACTAAACATATTCAGAAAATTTACCCAGATTGGGGTGAGGGGATGGTTTCTCTTTCTCAGAAGAATGGTTTGATTAGTTTCACTTTGGTTTTTCCTCACTTTCATTTCTGTGCTTAAGGCCTGTGAATTTCATTGTCATCCAGCCAGGTTTTAAACCATGTCAGTTTCGACATCCTGAATTTTATTTGGGATCTCTTTCCCCTAAGGATTTCTGAGCATCAGAGGTGACCAAAGAGGAGAGGCCAGCAGTTCTCAGTGTGTGGTCTCCCCTTGTCCTGGGTATGTGAAGTTTTGCTTTACTAGACCTTTGTCTTTTCCATTTTCTTCATCTCTGGTCCCGCTCCCTCCTGCTGTATTCTCACAACTACAGATATTCCCCGTCCACCTGCCCCATGGTGAGCAATACAAATATAAATCCATGAACAAAGATTGTTAAAAAGCATTTTTCTTGTGCTTTTTAAAATTTTTTCATAAGTGGTACTGGAGTATAAACCTCATTTTGGGGGAACTTTTCTTAAATCATATTTTTT